TTCCTTTGCATTGCTCTGTAAATGAAGCAGCTCTACCGAAAATGAAATGTTAGTGACCAGACGAAAGGTCTTAGCAAAACAAATCTCGACCTTAAAAATTGAGCTCGAGCCAATCTAGGTCAAAAGTCAAAACCAACATGCTTGCAGGGATCCTTAACTAAATGGCAAGAAGCGCACCGCATACTAAAATATTTTAAAAGTGGGTGTGCCGTGGGGGCCTGCTTTAAAAACTCTGACCCCCTTCCATCGAAAACAATATCTAGTTGCGCCAGCTATCTCCAAATCGCATGATTCATCATACATTCGCCGGTGCCTTCATGGCATAAATCGATGTTATTTGATAGCTCGTTCAATTATCGATACGTGGATGCTGGTCCCGTGCCGATCATTGGTCTAGCTACCAAGATATATAGCCAGAACTGCAACGGTGTGTAAATCAATAGGCTATCTTCTTCTTGGTCGCTACATTTTTGCTGCCTCAATTTCTTCAAGGGCCTTTTCCATCACACCTTCAAGAACGTCTTCTTTTTCCCATACATGCAACATTGCACGTTTAAAGGGACTATCCCACCTTCTAAAATGTTGTTAAAACCAGTTAAATTGTGCCCGACTTTATAGATTGGATGACCAGGAACACGGTTCTGGCATTTATTTTTCATTAAACATCTTAGTCTTCCCATATTCCAAACACAAACTTTCAAATATGTGACGTCACAGCCCAAAATTACCTCCTTCCCCAGGCCACATTACTGTCATAAAGCTGATTCTTTTTACTCTGTAGGCACCACAACAAAGTTCAGACCAAGTTTTAAGCGATATTTCAACGAACAAACCCATTTAAATCAGAATGACTAAACGAGGTGACGTCACACTAACGGTCGCTCCATGTTGAAGATAGGGCCTTGTACAAGGCCCATTTTCAAATGAAGGGAACGAATTTCTTCAACACCAAGAGGCCGCGGGGGTTGCAACCTAGATAGATAGTGGTTTCTGAACCTCGCCGCAAACTTGGCTATCTCAACTCAAACCCCATGTTAAAGGTGGGATAGTCCCTTTAAATCGAGAAAGCCAGGCATTAAAATGGCACGTGCATTATACCTACTACACTTTTGAAACATACAAGAAGTCAATGCTGATTGGTTTCCGAGACATGCAGGAAAACGTGTTTTCCTGCACCTCTCGACGTTTTACCACATGCCGAGATATCCCTTTAACATTAGCACGTGCATTTGGGAAATGGCTTCGGCCCGCCTCGGCTAATGTTGAAGGTATTTGGGAAACGATTCGGCCCTAGGGCTTTTTGATTTTCCCAGACAAAGTTTTACTGAATATTCTGAGCGGAAGAACCAATTTCAAAGAAGATATTTACGGATTGTGTGTTCACTAACAGCAACGACAGCAACAGCAAAAGTAAGTGACTGCGTGTTTACTTACTTTTGCTGTCAACGTAATTCAATTAAACAAGGTTATCGTTCCAATGCCAATGTATTTATTGCTGCAGAACATGGTCGGAATAATCATTATTTCTACATAATGCACGCAAAAAAACGAACAATTTAAATGCATGAAGCATCTTAACGTGCCACAATGAAACATTTGATATTGTTCCAGCTGGGATCCAAGACGCGTTTGATTCAGTGTTTCACCCAATTTTCAGTTTTCCTCACGGTTTCCTCACTCCTGCTGGACTCCATATCTTTATTCTAACTTCTGGCGCTTCACCATCTTCGTCCTCAGCTTTGTCAAACCCCAAATAAGGGGGAAGTAGGAATTTCATCTTTCATACTCAACTCAGCCCAATAATGAAAAACACAAAAAAATAATCACGGTGACTATAAATATGAACATTTACTTATATAATATTAACACAATATTAAGATTAAAGTGTAAAAAATCAAATGAAAATGATATTAACTGTTGCGCCGGTACGGCATGTGGTAAATCTCTTCCCAACCTTGGGCTGTGAAAATGCAGTTTTATTCACCTCGGTTTTTTGCTACGGACCTCGTGCCTACCGGCACTCGGTCCTCCGCACAAAAACCTCGGTGAATAAAACGCATTTTCCCAGCCCCGGTCGGGAATATATATTCTTGCACCCCTCGACGTTTTCCTGCACCTCTCAAATATATGACGTCATTATGAATGACGTCACATCATAAAGTTGAAGAACATCTTTTTGCTCCTTATAACTTCATTTTATCGTCCATTTTATTTGATTGGCTTATGATATACCTACCTACATTGTGTTTGATGCAAGGATTTTATTATTTGTCATGAATAAAGTGAAATATCACGATATAAAACTTAAACTTTGACGCTAATTCGCAACAAACCATAGCCACGAAAGACTAAACAAGGTTGAAATTGGGGCGTTTTAGTTCCTCCACAACATTTGCAACGGTCCGTACGCATGTATGGGAAATAGCTTCCTGCCCTGAGCTGCGAAAATTTAATTGTGTCACCTCGTATTTTAATCGAAAGTACCTCGGGCCTACCGGCCCTCGGTACTTTCAATTAAAAACCTCGGTGACACAATTAAATTTTCCCAGCCCCGGGCAGGAATGTATTAACGGAAATTTCTTAGTATCAGCGGCCGGCCGGCCGTGCGAACGCCTTTGCGAGGCTTATATATCAGCAACCACTTGACCGATTGACATGCAGTAATTTTTGTAGGGTAGCTTCATTCCTTCTTCCAAGTATTGGACTATTCCCGATGCATGTGGGTGACCCCTTATGCACGTGTCACGTGCAAAACGAAGAGGTGTCAGTTTTGTAACAATTACAACTGTAACAATTCTGTAACTACTGGGTCGATTGCGCTGAAAGTTGGCATGTAGGTAGGCACCCACTAGTGCACCCATCTGCCACGGTTGGTGTGCTGCTGCACGTGCGCACGGGGTCGATTCCAGATCTTGAGAACGGCTGAACCGATTGCGCTTAAATTTGGCAATGGTTAAGGACCGGTTAGAAGGGTGCCGTGCAAAAGTCAGTTGGGGTCCATTTAGCACGTACGCACGTGCAGGGTGCCGCTTCCAGATCTCGAGAACGGGGTAAATATTTACATTAAGTCCGATCCATATTTCAAGCATAAATTTTGCATATTCTTTCGTTATTTGACATCCTGAATGTAGATATGATGCTTACATGCGGCGGAAAACAGTGCTACCATATTAAAAATATTTGCTACCATATTTGGGGAAATGTTGGGAACCGGGGTTTTTGGGTGGGGAAGGAAAAACAATGCCGTAAGAATGGTTATGAAAGTTGGGGGAAACTGTTGGGAACCGGGGTTTTTGGGTGGGAAAGGGGGAATCGGGGTTAATGGGTGGGGAGAGAAACCCCGGTTCCCAACAGTTTTCCCCAACTTTCATGACCATTCTTACGGCATTGTATTCCCTCCCCGACCCAAAAACCCCGGTTCCCAACATTTCCCCAAATACGGTAGCAAATATTTTTAATATGGTAGAACTGTTTTACGTCGCATGTAAGCATCTTATCTACATTCAGGATGTCAAATAACGTAAGAATATGCAAAATTTATGCTTGAAAAGTGGATCGGACAGATGAAATTTACTTACCTCTAATCTAGTTCACCGTGGTTTCGAAAAATACGCTGGACGCGTTCCTCGTTGCGGTACGCAACTGAAACTAGTTCGTATTCCTCCCACTTGCACCCGGAGCACAACGAACCACCCGGCACGGAAGCCATGATCCAACTAACAGACTGGCGGGAAAGCGGAAAGCACTGGAAAGCACCTGCTAAAACTGGTTCAAACCAGTTTGCTCAAACGGAAACGGAAGTTTCTGCTCTAAATTGCAGGTACGAATGGAAAGAAGTTTACGTAAGGTCATAGCTATTAGGCATATTTGATAGAAAAGATATCATAATTATATTATTTGAACATAAAAAATAAAAATAAATCATCAAAAAGCAATTTAAATGTAAAAAGCATTACTTCTTCTCTATTTAAATTGTTTGATGAAAGTGACGTCAAAATAACAAAACACGAAAAAAATGTTTAAAAAATTGGAGTTTTGTTGGGTAGGATAGGAAAAAAAAAACACGACAAAAATTGTCACAACCTAATCTAACCTGACCTAACCTGACCTACTGATTTTTGCCTACCCGGGGATAAGGAAACAGTGGAATCAGGAGCTCAAAATACATCGAGTGGTGTGGTTTTTATAATCACCTTGTTGATCGGACCTTATGTATATAAATACCGAGAACGGCTAGGCTGATTGCGTTCAAATTTGGCACATCGCTAGGGACCGGTTAGTAGAGTGCAGTGCACAAGTTAGTTGGAGGCAATTTTTGCACGTGCAAGGCCCACCCTCTCGCTCGCTCCGCTGGTCGCACCCAAAAGGGCGTTATATTGGTATAAATTATAAAAACATACAGTAGCGGCGGAACACCTTCAATTAAGGGGGGGGGGGGCACTGCCGACTATTGGTCCCATTCTTTCCATGCAACGCCCATAGGGCTAATGTTAAAATGCCAAAATCGAAGGGGGGCACGGTGCCCCGGTGCCCTCCCCGTTCCGCCGCCTATGAAAACATAGGCCAGGTGGCCTGCCATTTCTCTTTTCTATTTAGTTTAAAAAAGTTACAAAATACCCATCGTGTCAGAGCAATGACGGAAAACAAGTGGCCTAAATCCGATGAGAAAACTGGATTTGGGGGTACCCTAGGTTTAGAGGAACCACTAGGGCAATGGGCGAAGGACATACCGTCCGGCGTCCCCCCCCCCCCCAACCAAAAGTCCGTGTCGGGGCCCTCGGCGAGCGGACTCCGCCTGAAACACCAAGGAGCTGGATAATGTATCTACATTCAGCCCCACACCAGTTCGGGTGTTCTGAAAAGCCCACTAGCGACATGATTGAATGTGCCCTGGATATCGCACCTGGCAGCAGCAGCAAATTGCACTTGAGGACCATGATAGAACAAACATGGTGGCCTAGGATGGATAGCAGGTGACCAGTAGCGCGTGTGCCACCCACCTGGTGATGAAGCGATGCCTGTTGGGGGTCACAGCTGAACCGGAGTGGACCGCCGGCCGCCAGACGCACCGGCCGCGCCCCACCGCAGTCGCGCTCCGCCACCACACTGCCGAGTGCCGGCCGGCCCGCAGGCCGCACAGGTGAAGAGGTTACGTGAAACCGGGACCTTCGTGAGACGGGGCGGCTGCGTACAGCCTCGGACAGCGGCCGCCACTGCAGCTGAGACTGTACGGCGGTCCGCGGCCCGCGGCCTCCGTCGCGCTAGCCGCCGCGCCGCGCCCGCGCCGGTCAGTTGTCGCGGTCGGTGGACCCGCGCCGGTCAGTTGCCGCGGTCGGTGGACCCCGTCCCTCTGTTTTTTTTTTTTTTGCGAATAACTCTGGTAAAAAGCTCTTAATGAAAAATCCTTGAGGACAATCCTTCGTATTTCGTCAGGACGATCTTTAACAAAATCCCTGTACGAAATTGATACACAATCCTTAGGGAGTTTGTAACCTCCCGGTCCCTCGTTTCGATGACCTGCGGATCTACGCGCCTTCCGGACACGACCGGAAGGCGCGTAGATCCGGACACGACCGTGTAGTTTCCGTGTAACTATATTGTGGTGGCTTCCTGAGAAACAAACACATAGGAAGCGCTATAAAATTGAAAAAAAAACACTTACTTACAAATCAAACAACGATATAGCTCTCAACCTAGCCTAATATTCCCAAGTCCCAACCTAGCTGCAACAAAATTAACCCTCGCATGTGTGCGGCGTTTGCCAGCTTCTAACGTGTAGGGGGGGTCGGTTGGACCCCCCCCCCTTGCCGTTTGACCCCTGATCGAGCTAGAGCTTCGCGAAAAAAAAAACGAGCGTGTTGCCCGTGACGAGAGGAAGCCGAGATACCCAATTTTAACCATCGCCCTGGCAGGTCAACACGGCCTGGCAGGGGGGGGGGGTTGATGCAACCCCCCTCGCGATTGGTTCCTATGGCACGTAGAAACACCAAATTTGGTAGGTAGGTGGGCCCCCTGGAGTTCTCACCCCTGTGCAAATTTGGTTGCTCTAGGTCAATATTTAGGGGGGGTTTGGGAGGTATAAATGTAAAAATTTCGCTAAAAATAGGTCAAAAGTTTTTCGCTTATAACTTTTGATCTAATTAAGATAGAGTTAAAAAAAGCACCAGTGAACTCAGCACGTCAAGGCACGTCGAATGATATACTTTTTTGCTTGCTTAACCCTCGCCCGCACATGGGGGGGGTGGTTGCCACCCCCCCCCCCCCCAGGCAGTCTTTCTGCTCTGCACTCAACATTTTTAGAGCTAGAAGGCTGATTTTCGTATAGCTGCTCGTCTATCCTTTCTTGATGTCCACTGAAAATTTCAAGTTTCTGTGAGTTTTGGTTTCGGAGATATGACCTTGTTTTTCAGGTCATGTCATGACCCAAATGGCCAATTCTCAACATCTTGCGTTTGCCATGGGCCTTGTGAGCTTTTGACACCCTGATTTCGGCCTTTTTTGCCAGTCTTACCTCCCACCTATCATGGAACATGTTGTTCGACGATGTACAGGGGTCAAGGTCAGGGTCAAGGTCAACCTAGGTCATCTAAGATAATTGTGTTTTAGGCAAGCTGAATTTACTTTTTGTGAAGTTTTTTGACTGCATTTTTAGTAAAAGCTTCTCAGATCATGATTTCATGTGATATGGACCCAAAAACAATCGGTGCACACATCAGTATACACACAGACACACACAGACATACAAACCAGGGATGCGGAGCCGTGGAAATTTCAGACGGCTCCGGCTCCGGCTCCGGCTCCGGAGAAAAAATCGGCTCCGGCTCCGGCTCCGGCTCCGGGTGAAATGTTATGGCGGCTCCGGCTCCGGCTCCGGCTCCGGCTCCGAGTAAAATGGTCCGGCTCCGGCGGCTCCGGCTCCGACTCAGTACATCCCCTACGCAATCAATTAAATACGGGTGGAAGAAAAATTGGATTGGTAATACGCGTTACTCTTTGCCATGACCGGCTCACCGCGTCCCCGTGCAAACGCACCTCAGAGAGAACTGGCAGAACAAAGGGCTAGGAAGCGATGGCATTGGAAACGCAGCCGCCGCGAATCGGAGTTCAGTGAACCATCGTAAGCTGACACCCGTCTCGGCTGCATTGAGGGGTGAGGGGTGGGGGGTGTTTGGGATGAGACGGTGCTGGGAGTCGCAGTCCACTGCACTGGTTTGAAAACAATGGCCGTCACCTGATGACTGGTCCTCATGTTCTGGGGATGCAGTAGACGTGGGGGGGGGGGGGGGAAGAGCAAACAGGAAGTTGTTTGCGTACTGTGGGATACTGGGGATATTCGGATTTTTTCATTCACTTGATGGCCCATGACGTAAGTACCATATGTTTTACTGCCTTGTACTGTCAAACCGAACTAGGTCAATTATTTTTTTTCCTCTTCAAAAAATAAAAAGGAGCCGGAGTCGCCCCTTTTTTTGGCGGCTCCGGCTCCGGCTCCGGCTCCGGGCTATATTGTTTCACGGCTCCGGCTCCGGCTCCGGCTCCGGGCAAAATATGCCGGCTCCGGCGGCTCCGGCTCCGACTCCGGCTCCGGCTCCGCATCCCTGATACAAACACATATAATTGACCTTGACCTAACTTGACCTGAAATGACCTCAGCAGCAAAATTCTGGTCGGATAGTGTGACAAAGAGGTTCTAGCTGGCTTGGCACCAGAAAACAGCATCGTCATCGGTATTTGATAAGCAGCGCACTTGATATCCAACGGTGACCCAAAACAGCAACATTTTTTAGTTTGACCTGACCTGGAAGGTCAATGACTGACCTGAGAAAGTAAAACTGGGTATCATTGGATTCGTCTCTTCCCAAAGAATCTTTTTGGTCTTTACTGCTAAGCTCTATCTCCAACAGGAACGAAATGGCGCGGGGGGGTGGCAACCACCCCCCCCCCCCATGTGCGTTCTAGGATGGGAAAATGGCATGTGCGGGCGAGGGTTAAGTGTACTGGGGCGTTCCACGACAAATCGACAAATAAAAAAAAAATTGCACCCTCATATTTTATTTTTTGCTTAAGATTGGTCTAATGGGTTGTGATGGGCGGGGAAGCCAGCTGTGGCAAGGATTTTTTCTTCGAACAACGGTTTCCGAGGTATAGCCTCGGGCAATTCCTGAAGGTCGCGCTGCAGCCCTATGTTTGGCGGCCTATAACTAAGAAATTATTGGTTTTCTACGCTAAAAACTTAATATGGTTCAACTCACAATCAACCAACAAACATTTTGGCTATCTCGGATTTTTCAATTTTTGAAAATTTTGATCACGTGACCTTTTGACCTATCTTTAGAAGAGTGACCTTGATATTTTCCCCACTGAAAGTTGCAATTTTGTCTGATGACGATTAAAGCCTTATCAATTGTCATTCATATCCGATAATAAAAAAGTGGCTATCTCCCTGTGTTGACCTCAGGTCAGGTCATTTTTATGACCTGTCCATTATTACGAGCGGGAGCGACACCGAGATCTCGAGAATAAAGCAAGATAGCGACAAGCGGTAAACGGAACAGGGTACACACGGATAAGGTCTATAATTTTTACTGAGGTCATTTTCAGGTCAGGTCAGGTCAAAGATGACGACACAGGAGCAAAAAGGAAGTCAAAATTGCGGCACTACATAAATATATATGAAATTTTCTCGAATAACTTTCAAGGTATCCCAGCTAGGAACAAACTAATAGCACCATCGTGATCCTCTCGTCGATCTGCATCGAAACATACATATGTATGTTGACCTCGAAAGGTCGAAAGGTCAAAAGTTGACCTTAGGTCACGTGACCTGAGGTCATTCATATGCAATAATAAAAACGCAGGGCGATAGCCACTTTTTTATTTTTGCATATGAATGACAATTGATAAGGCTTTAATCGTCATCAGACAAAATTTTAACTTTCAGTGGGGAAAATATCAAGGTCACTCTTCGAAAAATAGGTCAAAAGGTCACGTGATCAAAATTTTCAAAAATTGAAAATCCGAGATAGCCAAAATGTTTGTTGGTTGATTGTGAGTTGAACCATATAAAGTTTTTATCATAGAAAACCAATAGTTTCTGAGTTATAAGCCGCCAAACATAGGGTTGCAATGTGACCTCCAGGAATTGCCCGAGGCTATATCTTGGAAACCGTTGTTCGAAGAAAAAAGTCCTTGCCACAGCTGGCTTCCCCACCCATCACAACCCAATAGACCAATTTTAAGCAAAAAATAAAATATGAGGGTGCAGGGCACTTGTCGATTTGTCGTGGAACGCCTTAAAGTTTAGGTACTTAAAGTTTTTCCTGATTATTAAGTAAACTTTAAATAATTAACTAAATTCAAGTTAACCAAATCGCATCATATCGCATATCATTCGATTCGGCTGATCACCACAAACACAATGATATCATTTTTTAAGCTCTAGCGTCATTGTGTGCCAACTTACTGGCAAAAAGGTCATTTGACCTCAGTTGACCTCATTTGACCTGACCCATGGATAATTACACCAAATAAAGAAGCACCAAGTGACACGCTGTTAAGTACTGTGGTTTCAAAGCACAAAAGTGATAGAACGAAGCGGATATCTCCAGTATTTTCCGAATTGAATATTTTCCCATAAGCTTAACATTATGACGTACCTAATGACCTCTAACTGATCTCAGGTCAGTGACATAAAAAAACGAACTATATGTTATACAACTCGGTGAAATTAGCACATCCTGAAAGTTTGAAGGAAATCAGTCTAAAGCTGTGAGTTGGACAGGTGCATAAAAAAAATTGAAATTTGACCATGACTTTGTACCGATTTTTCTGACCTGGTGACCTGACCCAAGGTCACCCGGACCTGAAAGTTTCAGGTCATATGTAAAAAGTTTGCCCCATAGGCTGTGCCATATTTGGCGGCGCTATCTTTGAAAAACCTTAGGGGGTTGCATCAGCCCCCTCCCAGGGCGAGGGTAAAGGTCCTAGGTCATTGGTTGACCTTCCAGGTCAGGTCAATGACCCAAAAGTCGGGGAAATCGGAACCTGTTAGAAAGTCGTTAAGTGTGGCTGCTATGAGGTTTTTTCGGGGTGCTGATCACGAATGTCGTGTTAGTTTTGATCAAAGATGATGATCAAAGATGAAAGCATTTAAACCTGCTCGGGTCAGGTCAGGTCAGGTCAACCATTAGGGGTCGTGACGGGATTTTGTAGTACGTTTCAACCGCCTCTGACAGCTTCGTAACATGTTACCAAGGCACCAAAACTACTTCGTAAATGTTCAAATTGTTGCTAAATTCGAATTCAGCTCCAGAAACTAGCC